ACACACTGGGTGCTATAAAATTCTGAACTTGTTTTGAAATATGATCGAATTTACTGAGTTAATTTACTGAGTTTAGCTCACTGAGATTATAATGATACGCCAAAGTTATGGATTAATATACTAATCTACTAATATCTAACAAAGTGCTAGGGTTTTGGGTGACCTTCGTAGGGTCAGTAATAAGTTGAAATAGTCATACATGATTTGAAAATTGTGTATCTTATTATTACTTGGGGTTTTGGCATGGCAGATTTAAGAAGATCGTTGAAAAGGCCCTCCAAATGATAGTTGAGATATATTTCACATGATATGTTTCATCTTGTGATGATTAATTGTGGCAACACCAAATATATTATGTCATGAAAATGTCAAATATCAGTTTAGGCTTATTTCATTTCTTTACCCCTTCAACTTTTCGTATCAACCTTGTGCCTATTAAAACATTAACTGGCCTTTGTTCGAGATCGCCAGGTCTTGGAGGTAATCACCCTATGTTTTTACAATTCTGCTTCATGGGAACTAACCGTAGTAGAAAACATTCTCCAATTAACACCTGTCACAAGGGAGAGGCCATTTGAGTTTGTGCTCAATAACGGTGTTATGCAATTGGCGTATTCACGAAAATCTCATGAACTTGTCAATAGAAAATTGGTTGTGTTGTCCAAACATGGGGATGGCCTAAAAGTCGGGCCGGGCCGGGCCAAGGCGGGCCAAATATATAATTGGCTAATAAACCCATTAACGATCACCATGCCTACAACTAATTAATGCAACATACACGCATGGTAATAATGATCAATCAGAAGCCATAAACGCGTACCATAATAACTTTATTACGAGTAAATCGGCTAAAACTCAGGAAGACGAGAAGCCTGTGAACTGGCTGACCGAGGTTACGTCTAAAAGTCGAATCGTTAAACGAAACAGGATTTAAAACGTATAAATACTTCAGTCAATTCCGATACACATTTCCATCGGTGTATTACATCTATATCCAATCACATACTACCCCATAAATTCATTATTCATCGCATTTAAAGCATGCCCACCTTTATATGATACGATCTCTCCCCCACACTCTCAACATTATCTCGGCCACAATTGTTCGGTCCGGCTTGACTCGAGCCGTCAAAAGCAACTTAAACGTAACACACGTATCTTGAATTGTGTTTACATCCATAGAATGGTATTATATCTACTAAATATCGCTTTGTAATGTTATAAAATGCAACATGTAAAGAAAACGGCTCCGTTAAAGTGAAGCCCTTGTCTCTCATTTTTCAACATAGCCTCAATCAAAAGTGTTTAGTCTCTGTTCAGCCCGACTTGGCCCGTGCTGTCAAAAACACCTTAAACCTCACACATGTATCTTGAAATGTATTTATATCCATAGATTAGTATTATATCTACCTACACATCACTTCACAGAGTCTCAAAGCGTAGTATTTGAAGCAAAAGCGTTGGTCAAAGTGAAGCTATCTTTTCTACTTATCCTCAACAAAGACACTGTATCACAATCATTCGGTCCGGCTTGGCCCGGGCTCTCAAAAACAACTTAAACCCCACATATGTATCTGAAATGTGTTTAAATCCATATATTAGTAGTGTATCTACCTAACTATCAATGTGTGATGTTACAAAATGCCACATGTAAAGATAACTGGTTGGTTAAAGTGAAGCCCTTTTCTCTCTCCATTCTCAACATAGCCTCAATCAAAAGTGTTTAGTCTCTGTTCAGCCCGACTTGGCCCGTGCTGTCAAAAACACTTTAAACCTCACACATGTATCTTGAAATATATTTATATCCATAGATTAGTATTATATCTACCTACATATCACTTCACAGAGTCTCAAAGCGTAGTATTTGAAGCAAAAGCGTTGTTCAAAGTGAAGCTATCTTTTCTACTTATCCTCAACAAAGACACTGTATCACAATCATTCGGTCCGGCTTGGCCCGGGCTCTCAAAAACAACTTAAACCCCACATATGTATCTGAAATGTGTTTAAATCCATATATTAGTATTGTATCTACCTAACTATCAATGTGTGATGTTACAAAATGCCACATGTAAAGATAACTGGTTGGTTAAAGTGAAGCCCTTTTCTCTCTCCATTCTCAACATAGCCTCAATCAAAAGTGTTTAGTCTCTGTTCAGCCCGACTTGGCCCGTGCTGTCAAAAACACCTTAAACCTCACACATGTATCTTGAAATATATTTATATCCATAGATTAGTATTATATCTACCTACACATCACTTCACAGAGTCTCAAAGCGTAGTATTTGAAGCAAAAGCGTTGGTCAAAGTGAAGCTATCTTTTCTACTTATCCTCAACAAAGACACTGTATCACAATCATTCGGTCTGCCGTGGCCCGGGCTCTTAAAAACAACTTAAACCCCACTTATGTATCTTGAAATGTGTTTAAATCCACAGATCAGTATTATATCTACCTGACTATCAATGTGTGATGTTATCAAATGCCACATGTAAAGAAAACAGGCTCGTTAAAGTGAAGCCATTTTCTCTCTCCATTCTCAACATAGCCTCAATCAAAAGTGTTCAGTCTCTGTTCAGCCCGACTTGGCCCGGGCTCTCAAAAACACCTTAAACCTCACACATGTATTTTTAAATGTGTTTATATCCATAGATTAGTATCATATCTACCTAAATATCACTTGACAGAGTCTCAAAGCGTAGTATTTGAAGCAAACACCTTGCTCAAAGTGAAGCCCTATTTTCTATACATTCTCAACAAAGACACAGTATCACAAGCTTTCGGTCCGGCTTGGCCAGGGCTCTCAAACGCACCTTATACCTCACAGATGTATCTTGAAATGGGTTTATATCCATAGATGGGTATTATATCTACCTACATATCACTTCACACAGTCTCAAAGCGTAGTATTTGAGGCAAACACCTTGCTCAAAGTGAAGCTATCTTTTCTACATATTCTCAACAAACAGTATCACAAGCGTTCTGTACGCCTTGGCCCGTACTGTCAAAAACACCTTAAACCTCACACATGTATCTTGAAATGTATTTATATCCATAGATTAGTATTATATCTACCTACACATCACTTCACAGAGTCTCAAAGCGTGGTATTTGAAGCAAAAGCGTTGTTCAAAGTGAAGCTATCTTTTCTATATATTCTCAACAAAGACACTGTATCACAATCATTCGGTCTGCCGTGGCCCGGGCTCTCAAAAACAAATTAAACCCCACATATGTATCTTGAAATGTGTTTAAATCCATATATTAATATTATATCTACCTAACTATCAATGTGTGATGTTACAAAATGCCACATGTAAAGATAACTGGTTGGTTAAAGTGAAGCCCTTTTCTCTCTCCATTCTCAACATAGCCTCAATCAAAAGTGTTTAGTCTCTGTTCAGCCCGACTTGGCCCGTGCTGTCAAAAACACCTTAAACCTCACACAAGTATCTTGAAATGTAGTTATATCCATAGATTAGTATTATATCTACCTACACATCACTTCACAGAGTCTCAAAGCGTAGTATTTGAAGCAAAAGCGTTGGTCAAAGTGAAGCTATCTTTTCTACTTATCCTCAACAAAGACACTGTATCACAATCATTCGGTCTGCCGTGGCCCGGGCTCTTAAAAACAACTTAAACCCCACATATGTATCTTGAAATGTGTTTAAATCCACAGATCAGTATTATATCTACCTGACTATCAATGTGTGATGTTATCAAATGCCACATGTAAAGAAAACAGGCTCGTTAAAGTGAAGCCCTTTTCTCTCTCCATTCTCAACATAGCCTCAATCAAAAGTGTTCAGTCTCTGTTCAGCCCGACTTGGCCCGGGCTCTCAAAAACACCTTAAACCTCACACATGTATTTTTAAATGTGTTTATATCCATAGATTAGTATCATATCTACCTAAATATCACTTGACAGAGTCTCAAAGCGTAGTATTTGAAGCAAACACCTTGCTCAAAGTGAAGCCCTATTTTCTATACATTCTCAACAAAGACACAGTATCACAAGCTTTCGGTCCGGCTTGGCCAGGGCTCTCAAACGCACCTTATACCTCACAGATGTATCTTGAAATGGGTTTATATCCATAGATTGGTATTATATCTACCTACATATCACTTCACACAGTCTCAAAGCGTAGTATTTGAGGCAAACACCTTGCTCAAAGTGAAGCTATCTTTTCTACATATTCTCAACAAACAGTATCACAAGCGTTCTGTACGCCTTGGCCCGTACTGTCAAAAACACCTTAAACCTCACACATGTATCTTGAAATGTATTTATATCCATAGATTAGTATTATATCTACCTACACATCACTTCACAGAGTCTCAAAGCGTGGTATTTGAAGCAAAAGCGTTGTTCAAAGTGAAGCTATCTTTTCTATATATTCTCAACAAAGACACTGTATCACAATCATTCGGTCTGCCGTGGCCCGGGCTCTCAAAAACAAATTAAACCCCACATATGTATCTTGAAATGTGTTTAAATCCATATATTAATATTATATCTACCTAACTATCAATGTGTGATGTTACAAAATGCCACATGTAAAGATAACTGGTTGGTTAAAGTGAAGCCCTTTTTCTCTCTCCATTCTCAACATAGCCTCAATCAAAAGTGTTTAGTCTCTGTTCAGCCCGACTTGGCCCGTGCTGTCAAAACACCTTAAACCTCACACAAGTATCTTGAAATGTAGTTATATCCATAGATTAGTATTATATCTACCTACACATCACTTCACAGAGTCTCAAAGCGTAGTATTTGAAGCAAAAGCGTTGGTCAAAGTGAAGCTATCTTTTCTACTTATCCTCAACAAAGACACTGTATCACAATCATTCGGTCTGCCGTGGCCCGGGCTCTTAAAAACAACTTAAACCCCACACATGTATCTTGAAATGTGTTTAAATCCACAGATCAGTATTATATCTACCTAACTATCAATGTGTGATGTTATCAAATGCCACATGTAAAGAAAACAGGCTCGTTAAAGTGAAGCCATTTTCTCTCTCCATTTTCAACATAGCCTCAATCAAAAGTGTTCAGTCTCTGTTCAGCCCGGCTTGGCCAGGGCTCTCAAACGCACCTTATACCTCACAGATGTATCTTGAAATGGGTTTATATCCATAGATTTGTATTATATCTATCTACATATCACTTGACAGAGTCTCAAAGCGTAGTATTTGAAGCAAACACCTTGCTCAAAGTGAAGCCCTATTTTCTATACATTCTCAACAAAGACACAGTATCACAAGCTTTCGGTCCGGCTTGGCCAGGGCTCTCAAACGCACCTTATACCTCACAGATGTATCTTGAAATGGGTTTATATCCATAGATTGGTATTATATCTACCTAAATATCACTTCACACAGTCTCAAAGCGTAGTATTTGAGGCAAACACCTTGCTCAAAGTGAAGCTATCTTTTCTACATATTCTCAACAAACAGTATCACAAGCGTTCTGTACGCCTTGGCCCGGTCTCTCAAAAACAACTTAAACCCCACACATGTATTCTGATTTGTGTTTAAATCCATAGATTGGTATTATATCTACCTAAATATCAATGTGTGATGTTACAAAATGCCACATGTAAAGATAACTGGTTCGTTAAAGTTACCCCTTTTCTCTCTCCATTCACAATATAGTCTCAATCAAAGTGTTTAGTCTCTGTTCAGCCCGGCTTGGCCCGCGCTCTCAAAAACTACTTAAACCTCACACATGTATCCTGATGTGTGTTTAAATCCATAGGCTGGTATTATATCTACCTGAATATCGCTTTGTAATGTTATAAAATGCAACATGTAAAGAAAACTGCTCCGTTAAAGTGAAGCCCTTGTCTCTCCCGAAACACAACATAGCCTCAATCAAAAGTGTTTAGTCGCTGTTCAGCTCGGCTTGGCCCGTGCTGTCAAAAACACCTTAAACCTCACACAAGTATCTTGAAATGTATTTATATCCATAGATTAGTGTTATATCTACCTAAATATCACTTCATAGAGTCTCAAAGCGTAGTATTTGAAGCAAACACCTTGCTCAAAATGAAGCTGTCTTTTCTATACATTCTCAACAAAGACAGAGTATCAAAAGCTTTCGGTCCGGCTTGGCCTGGGCGCTCAAACGCACCTTATACCTCACAGATGTATCTTGAATTGTGTTTTAATCCGTAGATTTGTATTATATCTACTTAAATGTCACTTTGTAATGTTATCAAATGCAACATGTAAAGATAACTGGTTCGTTAAAGTGAAGCCCTTTTCTCTCTCCATTCATAACATAGCCTCAATCAAAAGTTTTTAGTCTCTCTACAGCTCGGCTTGGCCCGTGCTCTCAAAAACAGCTTAAACCTCACACATATATCCTGATTTGTGTTTAAATCCATAGATTAGTGTTATATCTACCTAAATATCACTTCATAGAGTCTCAAAGCGTAGTATTTGAAGCAAACACCTTGCTCAAAGTGAAGCCCTATTTTCTATACATTCTCAACAAAGACACAGTATCACAAGCTTTCGGTCCGGCTTGGCCAGGGCTCTCAAACGCACCTTATACCTCACAGATGTATCTTGAAATGGGTTTAAATCCATAGATTGGTATTATATCTACCTAAATATCACTCTGTAATGTTATCAAATGAAACATGTAAAGATAACTGGTTCGTTAAAGTGAAGCCCTTTTCTCTCTCCATTTACAATTTAGTCTCAATCAAAAGTGTTTAGTCTCTGTTCAGCCCGGCTTGGCCCGTGGTGTCAAAAACACATTAAAACCTCACACATGTTTCTTTAAATGGGTTTGTATCCATAGATTTGTATTATATCTACCTAAATATCACTTCACACAGTCTCAAAACGTTGTATTTGAGGCAAACACCTTGCTCAAAGTGAAGCTATCTTTTCTACATATTCTCAACAAACAGTATCACAAGCGTTCTGTACGCCTTTGCCCGGTCTCTCAAAAACAACTTAAACCCCACACATGTATTCTGATTTGTGTTTAATTCCATAGATTGGTATTATATCTACCTAAATATCAATGTGTGATGTTACAAAATACAACATGTAAAGATAACTGGTTCGTTAAAGTTACCCCTTTTCTCTCTCCATTCACAATATAGTCTCAATCAAAGTGTTTAGTCTCTGTTCAGCCCGGCTTGGCCCGCGCTGTCAAAAACTACTTAAACCTCACGTATGTATCCTGATGTGTGTTTTAAAATGCAACATCCATAGGCTGGTATTATATCTACCTGAATATCGCTTTGTAATGTTATAAAATGCAACATGTATCTATTATCTATTATCTCCCTTGATCTGTGAGGACGTGTCGGTGACAGCTCTCACTCAATTTTATACCTTCGACTGTCTTTTAAGTGTTTTTAGTCAACGTTCGGACCTAAAAGTGTCTCACAACGACTGGCTGGATGTGTATTGTGTTTTTAGTGAATATATTGCTGATTATACTGCATAAGGTGTGAGTTATGAGTCTGGACTTGGAATCATCACAAGATTTTGTGAACTCAGTAATGGCGACGACCCAAGCGGCCACTCCGAAAGGCGGGAAAAGTCAATCAGAAGAAAGGAAAAGACAGTTGACCAACGATGATAACGATGATATGGATACTACACATAAGAAACAAAAGGGTGAGTCCCAATCGGCGCAACATAATGACTGTATTTCACCCGTAGCTGGGCGCCATGTCGGTAATCACTGTCCACCCGAGTGTGAGAAAGGCTTAGCTAATGTGTTGTCTGCTATTGATAATTTAACGTCGCATTTCGATAAGAGAACTCTATGGAAGACAGATTACTTTCTAAGATGAAGTCCATGCTGGATAGTGAAATAAAGTTTGTGAGAAATGAGTTCAAGGAAGCACTCTCTGACATAAACAAAGAGCTCTCCAGTGTCAAGGAAACGCACTCAATGCAAAAAGAGTATGTACAGAAAGAAATAACTGAACTTAAGAGGTTGAAATCATACGCTGCCGCTGCCAAATCAGAAACTGTTGAGCTCAACATAGTGCTAAAGAATGTTCCTGAGACTGTGCATGAGCACGTGGTGTCGAAGGTGAACGGCATTATTCACGATGGGCTAAAGCTCCGAGATATACAGATGAATAGAGCCGAGAGAAAGCAGTCCAACAACAGCAGGTACCCAGGCGTCATTATCGCAACATGCACATCGGTAGACGATAAGAAGTTAATTCTGAGTGGGAAAAGAAGGTTAAGAGACTCGAGAAACTTTAAAGATATATATGTTGAGAGCGACAAACCACTGCAACAACGTATACTAGAAAGCAACATGAAGCTACTTGTGGACACTGTCGGAGAGGGTAAACAGATTACAGAGAACAGACCGGGATAGACAGCACTATCAGAGGGGGAGGGATGGATACGGACGGGGTGTGGATCGTCTCCCCAGGGACATCAGTGAGGGAGGCGAGAGATCGGCACAACGCGACGACTTTTACCCACGTGCGTCTGTTGATCAACAAGAGCCACGTGACTCGAGATACCCATCCAATCAACGTCACGCTGGTGGCTCGAAGGATCGAGGTCACAGTTCCCAGTCCAATCAACGCAGGTTTTAGGTCAAATGCGGGTTTTGGAATGTTTGCGGCTACTCATGTGATAAACTGTCTGAAAACTTCGTACTACGTTCGCACTGTATAACTGAATGTGATTTAGACATTATTGGAATTGCTGAGACACACTTAAAGGGAACCCAGAAGATAGACGTAGATGGCTACGTGTGGCTCGGACATAATAGAACTCTGACACATACTAGAGCTAAATGCGGATCGGGCGGGGTTGGGTTTTTAATCAAGAGTGCCTTCTATGATTGTTTTAACGTTTCAGTTTTAGATTGTAGTTATGAAGGTATTCTATGGTTGAAGTTTGTTGACAAGTTACATCCTCAATTTAGTTTTGTTATATGTGTGTGTTACCTCCCACCTGAGAACTCCACAAGGCAAATAGATGCAATTGATTTTTATATACCCTATTATTACAGATAGTCAAGTATTATTCTCCTGAAATGACTTTTATCTGTGGCGATTTTAACAGTAGATGTGGTAACCTGCTGGACTATGTAGAAGGTGTCGATTGCCTACCCGAGCGTGTAATAGTTGACTCAACAATCAACACCTATGGTAGACTTTTAGCAGACTTCTTAATATCAGCTAATTTATGTATGGTAAATGGAAGACAAAATGTTTGTAATGATTTTACGTACATATCCACTAGGGTACATCTGTGGTTGATTACTGTCTTTGTCCTTATGACATGTTATATAGGATTGAGAATATGTGTGTTGTTAGGCCAAATGATGTAGCCACTAGGGCCGGGTGTGTTGGGCTTGTAAACCCACAGACGGTGTTAAAGATAGACCACTCAATGTTAACATGGTCTATACATTTAGATATGCCGCCCTGTGACCCTACACCATGTACTCGTCAGCAGCAGACTAGGGTTAAATGTGATACGTCTAATATACCTGATAGCTTTATGCAATCTGATGACAGTTATCGGTCACTTGTGGACATTGTCAATAAATTAGAGTCATCCCAATTTGTACAGGCTGATGTAGACATTGCTTTTAACTCGTTTGTGAATAGTGTCAAAAATGAAATGCACAGTATACTGCCGACAAAAAACCATACTCCTTGATTCCCATGCTAGAAACAAAAAGCGTCGCCGTGCTAAGGAATGGTGGACTCCACAACTGGCACTTTTATGGAACGACATGTGTGTTGCAGAAAGGCGATGGTGTGAATGTAAGGGGATGGGTAGAGCGAATCTTAAACATGAGTATGTTCTAAAACGGGATCTGTTTGATAGGAAAGTTCAGAAAGCGAAGCGTGACTTCCAGACAGGCACCTTACGCGAGTTAGAGAGTTTGTGTGAAAGGGATACTTCAGAGTTTTGGAGGAAGATAGGTAAAGTGGGCGTGGGTTTTGAGAGGAAAAAGACTATCCCCATGGAAGTTAAGCTGTCTGATGGCTCCGTTAGTTCA